AGGGTGGCACGAGTTTTAAGAAAAGTGGGTTTGTGTGGTTGATATTAATTGATAAAGTAGGAATAAAGTAAGAATAAAGTAAAAATGATTTTGAGCCACACAAACTTTACCAAATGAGGTATGAGACATTTAAATAGGGACATCCCAATATGATAAAATGGGACATTTAATTGGGGACAGAGGAAGTACAAGTTATTGTTTTTCATTCTCTAAACAAAAGTAACTACGGAGTATTATGATTGAACAAAAATACCCTTTCAAGTCTGTGTTGTCACTTCTATGCCTGTAGTTTGAATTCTTTTCCCCAAATCACAGCCGCTGGAATTTGTTATCAATTTTTTTAATGGAAATATGTCATCAGTTATGCATGGGAACTAGAAGACCAATTAATTATACAAAGTATTAATTGATTATGTTAGAGTAAAAAGGTAATGCTTAGTCCTAATTAGAGAATACGGAGAAAGATATTCACTCCTATTTGTGTGCTTACGTTTAAGTTTTCTCATATTTAGGTCAATTTGTGTATAATTAATTGTGTTATTATGAAATGGATGAAACGTAAAGATTAGAGAAAGACTATACTCCCTTCGTCCCGTAATTAAGTTCATACTTTTCTTTTTGGGATGGTTCATATTAAAGTTTCTACTTCAAACCTTTCCTTATTTGACAAATGATTTACACCAAAGCAGTGTCAAACAGTGCCAAACAGTGTTCAAACAGTGCACTTCACAGTAAAGTCAAATTTATTTCTTAATATGTGTAAAGTCAAACTAGGAACTTAATTAAGCATCGGAGGGAGTATTATTAATATTCTTAATATAGTGTTCTTGAATTGACAATCACAATATAGATTAGAAGATAATTATAATTGTGTCGTTTGATAACACGTAAGGATTAATATTCTTAATAGAGTTGCGTTGTCCTTGAATTAACTCCAGCTTTACTTATTAACTACATATTCTACCCCGAATTTGATAACACGTCAGGATTAACTAAATCTTTTTAGATGACATATCATCATCATCCCAGTGTCGCAATTCGCAAAGGCTCCCGCACCTTCAGTGGGGTAAGGAGGGTTGGATGTACGTGATCTTACCCGTGTACTAAAGCGCAAATACACGATTTCTTGATGATTATAGTGAAAGTTGTGTTGAAAATTGCATAGACTAACTATTGCTTCATAACAAAGAAGTATAGAGGGTTTAGTAAGTCATTTCGTTTTATTCCATCATATTTCCAAGTCAAAAAATAGATGATTGGGCTACATTGCAAATGATGGAAATTTTTAGATGACACGTATTCTATTAAAATTTCTTATCATTTCATTTTTTTAATTAACTATGCAATGAATAGTACTCCTTTCTATTCAAAATAGAATTAGTTTCTACCCCTAAATTTTACTACCTTCATCACATAATACGATAGTATAGTATATGATTAATTTTAGTTTGATGCGAGTTTTAAGAAATAAAAGATAAAATGATTGTTTAACAATTCTAACCTCCAAAAAGTTAGAGAAAGTAAGATATACACACAAAAAGTAAATGATTAAACGATAGCTAATTAAAATGATGAAATCGGGAAGTAAAAAAGTAATCAGAGTTAAAATTTAGAAAAATGTTCATATTAGAGGCCGTTTGGAATCACTGTTTTTCGGCTTATCAGGCTTATCAGTCAGTTTTTTCACCAAACACGTAACTTTTGCTTTCGCGCGCTGAATTGTGTAATAAGTAGAAAAAGTAAGGCTGGAGTTACTTTTCTGGCTGTATTGGCTGAAGTTACTGTAGATGACCATTTTAACTATTTTTACATATAACTTTTTCTTTATTTTATTAATAAAATATATTTTTAAAATAAATTGTTCTTAAATCAGCAAAATCAGCCAATGCAGTCACTTCAGTCAGAACTTCATAAATTTCAGCAGAAACAGCCAAAACAGCAGATTTTCGTGCTACCAAACAGGCTCTTAGAAAGGGAAGTGCATATGCAACGTCAAATTGGAAGACAAAAATAGGTGGATGGGAACTTCAATCAGCAAGTACATAAAAAATTTAATTTCAGTTTTACCCAAGAAAAGTTATAGATTAATTTACTTTTGAAATAGGTGGCCATAAAAGCTTTGAAATACATAGGGTGTTTTCTTTTGGACTGAAATTTGATGGTCTGATATGGTTTAAACTGGTCTGGTCTGGTCTGGTAAACGTGTGGTCTCTGTGTATTTTATAACTACGAAAGTCTAGTCTGATCTGATCTGGTCTGATCTGGTCTGGTCTGGAACTGAAGACAGTCAAAAGAAAACATCATTACTCCGTATAATTTTGCAAATTTCTTCACACACACGTGCTATGATACGTTTGAAAAATGCCGTTTCATTCCATGTTTCAATGTTTTCTACTACTTTCATTCCGGTAGGCTTTGCCATGTTCAAATCAAATTGTGTGATTAAGAGTGGTGTAGAGGAGAGAGAATTGAGCAGAATCACAAATTAATTGTTTTAAGAAATAATGACAAGGATAATAGTAAGGACTTTTGGCTGGATAAAAATAGGACTAGATTTGAATTGGACAAAAAAAAGATTAATTTTTAATCAATGGACCGATAGCCCCCATTCGGCTATCCCTATCCCTCCCGTCTAAACTGTTCACTTCTTCTCTCCCTATCCTCCTGTCGAAACAATCGGCTTCTCTCCAATAGATAACCACAACCAGCCTCTCTTAACATCGATCGTCCCAGCCCTTCACCACCGTCCTTCACCGCCGCAGCCCCTTCACCGCAGCCAGTCCGCAACTGGATCATCGCACATCACCATTAGAAAATACGAGGCTCCTTTACTTTGACGAAGAGCTTGGGATCTACAACGAAGAACGAGTCTACATCACGTTCCTTCTCCCACCCGTTCTTCAGACACGAGCTCTATTAGATCGATAATGAATCAGACCGTTAGTTTCAGATCACACAGTGGCTAAGGATAGGGATTTGGGGGTAGGGTGCAGGGCGTGTATGGTGGGTGGCTACGGTTTGACCTTTGAGTCGATTGAGGCGGGCGGCTATGGTCGGTGATGGATCTGAGGGCGAGGTATGGAGGAAGGATGCAACGGTTTCGGGGGCGGGGTGAGGGGGTGGGCGGGGTGTGGGGTGGGGCTACAATTGTGCAAGGTTTGGGAGTGGGCTGGGCGGCGTAGGGATGGGGCCGACGGAGGCAGGGGGTTGGGGAGGCTGGAACCGGATTGGGGCTAGGGACAGACTGAGTAGGCTGGCCACTGCAGAGGGTAGGGGCTGACTGACAAGGCGGTTGGGCAGGGGCGGTGACCAGGAGTGGCTGGCGGCGGCAGGGGGTTGGGGAGGATGGAGCCGGGTTGGGGTTGGGGCTAGAGACGATCCGAGGGGCTGGTCACCGGAGAGGGGAGGGGCTCACCGACGGGGTAGTTGGGCAGGTGCGGTGGCCGGCAATGATAGGTGGTGGTTGGTGGTGGCCGGCCGTGGCCGCTGGCTAGCAGGCGGGTAACTGTAACTATAAGTAGATGGTTCAGGTAATTGTAATTGATCGATCGGGTGAGATAACCGTTTAGGTAATCGTAAATGTTGAACCGAGTAACTGTAATAAGTCGGACAGATGACTGTTACTGATCGGATCGGGTAACTGTAAGTTATCGGATCAAGTAACTGTAATTGATCTATTAATTGTAACTGGTCGGATCGAGTAACTGTAGTTGATCTGGTAATTGTAACTGGTCGGATAGTGTAATTGTAACTGGTCGGGTCCGGTAATTGTAACTGAACAGATCGAGTAACTGTAACTGGTCAGGTAATTATATTGACATCAAATACCTCTAAATGGTCGGGCTGGTAATTGTAATTGAACGGATAACCGTAATTTGGGAGATGTGGTAATCATACTATTTTTTAATCTTGAAATATTTTAAAAAAAAAATCATGGAAGTTGCTTACTTGTTGTAGCACACTAGCACTAGCACTTGAGGAACATGGAAACCGGCCATCTGATTTACAAATTACAAAGCAGGGGGCGGAACATTTATTAGTAATAGGGGCGTATTTGGCATTTCAACCTTAATCATTTAAATGATTCATACGCATGGTCTCTTTTTTGGCATTTAGTTAAAGTGGTCTTAGATTTGTCAAAATGCTTTTAATTAGTAATATCTATGACCTAATCCCTTGTTTTAATAGGAAAATGACAAAGTTTTTTTGGACAATTAAAAAGACAAAGTTGGCAAAGTCCAATAAAGACGAATTGAGTATTAGTTAATATGGTGATCCACGATGGTTGATAAATAGATGTTTGACCCTAGTATTGTAAAACAGAATCCCTGAAATGTATTGACCCTAGTAAATAATACTCCATATCATTTTAGGTTTAGTTTTTTGAAATAGGGCATTTGCCTACAAAGTACGAACGACTATGATCAAACTACTAAGGGGGTGTTTGGATCTAATTCTCAAAACTGATTCTGCTCCTTCAGGGAGCATAAGCAGAAGCTGGAGTGTTTGGGTGAAATTCCAGAAGCACTTCTGGTGCTCTAATTTACTCTCAGAATCAGTTTTTTTAGAAGCTGGGGGGTACCAACTTCTGAAAACTGATTCTGATTCTTCTTCTGCTTTAAAAAAGAAGCAGAAGCAGAATCAGTTCCAAACACCCCCTAAATTAACAAACAATTTTTTGCATCATGTCAACTTAATGTGTTTGTCAAGTACTCAAATTCATCGATTATGTCATTGAATACGGATTGAATGATTGACAAACACGCCCATAGAGTAACTTTAACTTTAACATGGTAGCGCCTTGACGTTCGTTTCATTGTGGCAAATGGAAAATACAGCAACAACTTTTTGACATCTCACAGAGTTACAGAAACACTATATATTCGTGCAAAAAAAACACTATATATCCATGCCTCTCTACATTATCATGCTCCTCACACATCGTGTATCTATTAGTATAGCTACTCACTTCATTACATTCATGATTTGATTTGTAACACATTCACTTCTTACCTAAGCCAGATACAACAATGTCTTCTACTTTTTCATTTTCCACAATAACAAGAGCAAGAAATTTGATTGCCACAGTTTTTGTTGTTAGCCTCTTAACTAATTGCTCTTACGCAAAGCAGCATCTCACCACCCATTTCTACTCTAAAACATGTCCCAAGTTGTTTAGTACTGTACACCAAATTGTTCAATCTGTTGTGCACAAGGAAAATCGTATGGGTGCTTCGCTCCTTCGCCTCCACTTCCATGATTGCTTCGTACAGGTAACATTATTCATCAAGGGTATGTTTGGCAAATGGCTTATCAGCCAACTTTTAGCTTGTTTGACCCATTTCAGCTGTTTGATTGGTCAAAGAAGCTAATAATTATGTTTGGTAAATGGCTTTTAAAATTAGCTTGTTGAGTTTGAAAAGCTGAAAAAATGAATTGTTGAAGAAGCTAAGGGGAGCAGCTTCTTCTTTTGGCTGGTTCAATTTACACTCTATCAGCCATTTTGAAACAACCAATTTTACCAAACAGTTATCTATAACCAGCTAACATAACCAGCCGGTCAAAACAGCTAACACAACCAGCTGTTAGGAAACAGCTGACACAACCAGCTAACAACAACAGCTAACAGCCATTTGCCAAACATACCCCAAGTGCCTCACATTTTTATTAAATTGTACATTTGTTGGGGAAATACGATCCCCGATCTCATACAATTAAGGAGGGAAGTGAACATCAACTTATTTGACTTTCCTAGACTTATTAAATAATTGAAAAGGAACAAAAACAATGACAATTAATTTGATGAATGTGATCCAGCTTTAATTATTAACAATAGAGTGTAATTATAACAATAATTAATTAATAAGTTTAGAAATTAAAAGAGATCAGAATTGATTGTAGAATAGTGATTGAGGAATAATTCGGAATTGTTATTTTCAAAGTAGAACATTTGTAATTACTTGGTTTTTTTTCAGGGATGCGATGGATCCATTCTTTTAGATGACACAGCCTCATTTAAAGGAGAAAAAGGTGCTCATGTTAACAAGAATTCAGTTAGGGGGTTCGAAATAATTGATGAAATCAAATCGGCAGTGGAGAAAGTGTGCCCCGGTGTGGTGTCTTGTGCAGATATTGTTGCCATTGCTGCTCGTGACTCTGTCGTTCAAGTAATTACTCATTATATAACAATAACAACTAAAAGTAATTGTTCCATTTTTTCATTTTGTTAGTGTGACACACAATTCTCTTTACAAACAAAAAAGAATTGTCATAACACAGACAAAATACCCAACGTGTACAGTGGCGTATACAATCAACGTGTACAAACAACAATTTTATACTACTATAATATAATACTTTAATCAAAGCGATCTATATAAAAAATTTGACAGGGAAAGCATTACCATTTATTTTTATAATGGAGGACCCCACTTTGATGAATTGTTACTTTCCACATATGTCATATGACTCCATTAGGGAAGGACTATAAAATTTCCCCCCTTTGCTCGGATTCTTCTTTGTTAAATTTCCCCCCCTTTGCAATGAGCTGCTCTTTACATAGTACTCTAGACGTCCCTATATAAAAGTTCCGGTTTAAATCGTCCCCATATCAAGGAAATGGTCTTTTTCATTTGACTTCCTAAAACACACTTTTTATAGACAGATAAATGTTATTGTAGAGTACACTATTTTGATGTTGTTTAACACTATTTTGTCCCGGGCAATCATTATTATTTAACAGTTGTGAAGTAAATTGATATAAATTTGTTTATCAAATATAGAAAATGAGACTTTATTTAAGACATCTATGAGGAAAAAATGAGTAGTTTATCTAGAGAGGGAGTATCTTAATTCTCTTACTTCTATGATTAGTTGGGATGCAAAATGTGGAATGTCAAACTAGGTAGGAGAGACTCCCGAACAGCAAACTTATATGCAGCGAACAATGGTGCTATCCCATCTCACTCCTCCAACCTTAGCGCCCTAATCTCAGCTTTCAGCAAAGTGGGGCTTTCCTCCAAGGATTTGGTTGCATTATCAGGTTATCTACCTACATTTATTTCATACTTCATTTTTATATGCTTATTTCTCTCATTTGCATATTCACAGTTTACATTAAAACATGAATACGTAAGTAAACATTGTCAACAATTCAAATGTGCCTTTGATTAACCTTTAGTAAACATCATTGCCTTTAAAATTCAACAAGGAATATGAAATAATGCATCAGAAGAAAAAAAAAATGAACAAAGCCTTGGCTCCACTGGTGCCTTAATACAAGCCCAAGACTTCATGTAAAAGGCTTGATGTACTATGACTTTCATATAACATGTTCGGCCAAGTATATAACTTTACAAAATATTCTTTCATAAAAAGAACTCTGCGTATTGTTCACGTAAAAGACTTAATTAATTACCTTATACTTCCTCAGTTCCTCTATTCTCATTTCTTTTGACTTAGTGGTGTGATTGATACTTCGATTGATTATTTTGTTGATAAAGCGTACGACATAATATCTATCTATTGTTTTAATAGTAAAACTGAGTTTTAAAAGACTAACATGTCACAATCTTATTCGTTGAGAGAAATCCTATTAAACATCCTATATTAAAACATTTAATTTGGCATAACGAAATATGCTAAAAGCCTAAAACTACGGAAAAGAAAATCCAAAATAACTTTTCTATGATTAAAGTTAGACAATCTGTTTGATTAATCATAACATTTGCAATAGGACTCAAATTCCATCACGATCAAGTTTAACACTCCCAGGTCGATGACAACTCAAGCTAAGCACAAACATTAGTCATTAATTAAAATAACATTTTTGGTAAAAGTCAAATATCTAATTAATCAGATAAAAAGTCAAATCAAATTAGCCCCAAACATTCAATCAATCTAGATTAGATTAAATCAAAAAATTCAGATCAAATAAAAAAGGTTCGTTCAGACATATTGTATTATTTTTACTATTATGATGATTCCAATCTAATCTAAATAATTTTGTAGGTTATTATTGTACGTTGCTTCTATTGGATTTAATTATGAATAGTGTTATTATAGTTATTATTTGTATGTTATTATTATTCATAAAATACCGTATATTATTATTATGGTTATTATCAACAATCATATTATTATTTAACTATATTATTATTAATGTATTTTTATTGTTATTAGTATTTATAGGTGACTAGGTGTATAGTAATATAATTATAATAGTAATACTGCATATGTTAAGACACGAGGTTACATCCTAGAAGGTCAACCAGATAGGAGGAGGAGCCCATGTGTTAATATAGCACTTTGTTCATCCAAACTCTTCCGGTGTGGGATATTTAACACCCCTCCTCATGACCAGACATTATGTCTGGATCGTGCCACATTCATTTTTTTCATCAGTTCGTCATTGTCATTTTTTTATAATCGTGTCATCATTTTTCATAAAGGGGCCCACACCATGGATCGGTTTGGCTCTGATACCATGTTAAGACACGGGATTACATCCTAAAAGGTCAACCTGATAGGAGGAGGAGCCCATGTGTTAATATAGCACTTTGTTCATCCAAACTTTTCTGGTGTGGGATATTTAACAGCATATTATAATGGTATTTATAACACTTATTATGATTAAAAAATTATAATCATAACTATAAAAAATAAGGATGACTATAACGATAGTAAAATGATAATGTAATTATAGTTTGATGGAGTATATGGCCCAGGAACCCCGGCCCATAGACTCCTACTTCTCCCACGAAGGCCCGTTGAGTCCAAGGTGCATCCGGAGCCCAAATACAGCGGCCCAAGTCTCCAGGAAGCCCAAAACACACACGGAGGTGCCTTCGGCCCCCTTGGCCGAGGGCTCCAAAACTCACAGGACAGCCTTTTCGGGCATACGAAGCTAGTGGGAGAAAACGACGCAAAACAGGAGCCTTCGGCATTATCAAGCCCTCGGCATCAGGAAAGCCTCCAGCTGATTCAAGCCTTCGGTCACATGGAGCCCTCGGCTACTCGAGGAGCCTTCGGCCAAACATGCTCAATCATCGAAGATTCCCTTTGGAGACAGCCAACCACCGCATTTAATGCAACGTCACATCCACCCACCGCATTCAATGCGGTGAACATGCCACTGCCGGTGCCACCCGATTGATGTGACCCCTCGGCCGTTGGATTGTTAACACGTGTACTCTCATCGCATTTATTGCTGCTATAAATAGCAGCCCTTATTCTCCTTGTAAAGACACGCAGAGTTCATTTAATAAATCGACTCTCTCTCCTCCTATTTTGATCTGACTTCTCTCTAGTTATTCCCGCAATAACCCCTCGGATAAGACACCCCCCGGGTAGACTATCCATCATAGTTATTGTTAAAATTGTAATTATAAATATAATCATCATTATAGTTATAACGATAATTATAATTATTAATATGATGATAATAATGACAATGATAATCATAATAGTAAGTTTATAATACTAATAAACACTCAATCACACGATGAATATTTGGATAGATCATATCAAAATTAGAAAAATTTATATCAGATCAGAAAGATTCAAATCAGATCAGAAATATTCACACCGCGGGATCATATATATAAGATTACTAGACTATAGCAGAAAAAATTCAGATTAGATCAGACCGGATCTTAAAAATTTCAAATCATAAATATTCATATCCGGCGAATAAAACAACTTCTTAATATCAACCATATCAATGAAGTATTATTCTCGACATAAATACCATATCAATCCAGTTTCCAAAATAATTGTACGTGTAAATCACATGAATAGGATTCAAATCATGAATAGTCACATGAATACTTTAATTCACATGAATAGGATTCAAATCACACAACACCAATAATACACGTGAATATCAAAAATAAAGTAAAACTGTAAGCTCCACATATTTCCGATTTCAATTCAACAATTCTTATATATAATCATCCTCATCATAAAATTAGTCACATAAATAATTAATAACTATTACAATACTAAGCACATAAAGCACAATATAACCCCCAAATTCATATTCCAAAATATGGTGATTCATCACCCATATTTCATGGTGGTGGTTAGTTCATACTACATTCGTCTCTCTTTATTTAGACAGGCCATATTTGACTTTTCCAGTCAAAGATGATAAATTTTGATCTATTATTTTAACTAATATATTTAATTATGTAAAACTTAATAAATTTATACTTTTATGAGAAGAAAGTTTTAACAAAGAACATTTTCACACCATTGCCATATTATCATTACTACCGTGTATAAATATATAATCGGTCAAAATTCAACATCACATTGACAGAAAAAATCATGTTTGGTTAAATACAAAGTGACATAGAGAGTAAAAGAAATCAATTATAGCCAAAATTTTGATCATATCTTATTAATAATTCACAATGTTTATTAGTATTTGTCACCTCACACATCAAATTAACACTTCCGGGGCATGCCCCGGGTGTTACACTAGTACTACGGTAAATAACAAATTTATTACGGAGTATCTTAAAGGAAAAGTACTGAACTTTTTGTGAAAGAGATCATGTATTGAAGATTGACAAAAGAAATAAGCAGTTTATACTAAGCAGTTTATACTAAGCATGACTGTAGTTAAAAAAATACGGAGTAGAGGTTATTCATTAGATTCTATTTACCGTTCCACAAATCGTATCACTCAACTTTTTACAAAAAATAAAGATTTGAATTCATTCGTTATAAAAAAAAAAACAAGTTACTATTATTTAACTTTTTTCGTATACTTCTTCAATTCCTTTATGTTTTCATCAATTTGAATATGAAGGGCCTGGGAAACTTGTCTCCCATTTATACTTGTCAAATATATCTCCCTTATTTTGTTACCTTATGCTTATCTCCTATTTTTTGTCCTTGTTCCACACTTAGTCATACGAACCGGCGATGTCGATAAACCAGCAACCCACACCCAAAAAACGGGACGGGTTAGTGAAAAAATGGGAGATGTGCAAAAATCGGAAATATCCTGTCAACTGGGTCGCGTCCCAAACCAAAAAACTGACTGACCAACCTCGAAAGTCGCCCCCGATTATTTGTTTTTTTAACAAGACAGTTTAAATGAGAGCTAAGATTGTTCACCACCTCCTCGAAATCCTTAGCTTCGGCCTCAGCTCTAAGATTGTTCTGGATCTCCAATGCCACTGCCGAATCATTCCCGGTCGAGGAGATTTCACTTGAAGACTCCACATCTGAATAACTCTCTCGTTGCGCCGAGGGCTCCTTGAAAATGTTTTGAGAATCGCTTTGCGAAGACATGTCCGAGGGCTAGGACCGAGGGGTTTAAAACAAAGGGCTCCCTAGACGGCTCTAACGCTTAGCCTAAGGACAACAAAGCTAAAAGTGCTAAGGAAACAAAGAACGGGTGAAGAACTGACCTTTGAGATTAAGGTTTGATCGAGGGTAAGAGTTTCTCTCTCTAGAAATTTCAGCAGAGCTTCGCTAAGATTCGGAAACGCACAAGGACGAATGAGCTCAGACTCGGGGTATTTATAGGCAACTGGGCCTCGAGAACTGGGCTTCGATTTGAAAAGCCCATCATTACGGGCCGCCGGTTCAGTCAATGGATGACTCCCGCCCACCTTCGACCAACGACAGCCGGCCACGTTGACCCCTCTTCCAACGGCTCTATTACAACGGCTATATTTCTCGAACACTAGAGTGCCCTCAAATGGTGGCCTCCGGCTATCGCTCCCCGCAGCCGTCAGACAATGAATCACACCAAGCGCCTTCGAGCCTGCAGCAGCATAAGCCTCCGGCTTGTCAATGGTGCATCCTTGGGCATGTAGGTGCATAAGCCCTCGGCGTAGCAATATTGTCATCCCTCGAGATTTCATCAACACATCATAACTCCTTCAGCCCGAACTAGCCTTCGGCCTAAAGGAGTGGGGGACTGGGATACACCCCTCGGGAATCACACATAACAAAATTTCCTCGTTCAAAGATTTACAATTGATGCGAATAGCCTCCGGGCGAACCTCAAAGCAGAACCCCTCGAGTACATACTTCAATATACCCTTCGGCAGAGGCAGAGCATCAAAATTTTCCCCAAGTCACTTGCGGAAATGAAGCAGCCCTCATCACAACACATGCGGGCGATACATCTATACTTTCCTCAGGAAACCCTCGACATGTGGTGGACTGAGGAAAGCCTTCGGCAAACGTACAGGAGTTATACTTCCCTCAGAAAACCCTCGACATGTGAGGGACTGAGGGAAGCCTTCGGCGAACAGCAGAAGACAAGCTCTCAAGCGAAGGCACCTAACGAAATGATGAAGTCTCCAGAGGAATCAACACAACTACTCCTTTTCCCTCAAGTACCTTTCGGCAAAAGGAGTGAGGGACTCCTGATGGAGTAGATGGCCCAGGAACCCCCGGCCCATAGACTCCTACTTCTCCTACACAAGTCCATTGAGCCCAGAGAACATCTCAGGCACAAATGCAACGGCCCAAACCTCAAAGAAGCCCAGAATACGCGCTGGGGTGCCTTCGGCCTCCTTGGCCGAAGGCTCCAAAACTCACAGGATAGCCTTTTTGGGCATACGAAGATACTGGGAGAAAACGGCGGAAAACAGGAGCCTTCGGCATCATCAAACCCTCGGCATCAGAAAAGCCTTCGGCTGAACCAGGCCTCCGGTCACGCAGAGCCTTCGACCACGCAGGGGTCCTCTGTTACGTGGAGCCCTCGGCTACATAAGGGGTCTTCGACCAAACATGCTCAATCATCGAAGATTCCCTTTGGGGACAACCAACCACCGCATTCAATGCAACGTCACATCCACCAACCGCATTCAATGCGGTGAACATGCCTCTGCCGGTGCCACCCGATTGATGTGACCCCTCGGCCGTTGGATTACTGACACGTGTACTCTCATCGCATTTATTGATGCTATAAATAGCCGCCCATTTCTCCTTGTAAACGATCCCACATCCACATCTCGAGTTCATTTAATAAAATCGACTCTCTCTCCTCCTATTTACTCTGACTTCTCTCTAGTTATTCCCGCAATAACCCCTCGGATAAGACACCCCCCGGGTGGACTGTCCATCAGGATTCAAATCACACAACACCAATAATACACGTGAATATCCAAAATAAAGTAAAATTGTAAGCTCCACATATTTCCGATTTCAATTCAACAATTCTAATAATCATCCTCATCATAAAATTAGTCACATAAATAATTAATAACTATTACAATACTAAGCACATAAAGCACAATATAACCCCCAAATTCATATTCCAAAATATGGTGATTCATCACCCGTATTTCATGGTGGTGGTTAGTTCATACTACATTCATCTCTCTTTATTTAGACAGGTCATATTTGACTTTTCCAGTCAAAGATGATAAATTTTGATCTATTATTTTAACTAATATATTTAATTATGTAAAACTTAATAAATTTATACTTTTATGAGAAAAAAGTTTTAACAAAGTACATTTTCACACCATTTCCATATTATCATTACTACCGTGTATAAATATATAATCGGTCAAAATTCAACATCATTGACCCAAAAATCGTGTTTGGTTAAATATAAAGCGACATAGAGAGTAAAAGAAATCAATTATAACCAAAATTTTGATCATATCCTATTAATAATTCACAATGTTTATTAGTATTTGTCACCTCACACATATCAAATTAACACTTCCGGGGCATGCTCCGGGTGTTACACTAGTACTACGGTAAATATAACAAATTTATTACGGAGTATCTTAAAGGAAAAGTACTTAACTTTTTGTGAAAGAGATCATGTATTGAAAATTGACAAAAGAAATAAGCAGTTTATACTAAGGATGACTGTAGTTAAAAAAAATACGGAGTAGAGGTTATTCATTAGATTCTATTTACCGTTCCACAAATCGTATCACTCAACTTTTTACAAAAAATAAAGATTTGAATTTATTCGTGTTGGAGTTTATTCCCGAAGATCCGAAAGCCCAACACAAGCCTTGGATATTGTAGGGATATTGGGTAGGGTTGAAATGTGTATAAAATATAAAATAGTGAGATAATATCCAACTCAAGAACTTACTTATATTCGGTAATTAAGCAATTACACTGAAACTACCCGAACGGTAGCCGAATATGAGATTACAAGGATGGGAGATGTAAATCTATTGTTTAAGCTCTGAGTATTAA